CTGAGGACTTACAATGCTAAAAACTGGGTTGCAATACCCGTGGTGGGCAGAGCACTGATAGCCCATTGTGTAACTTTGTGCTTAATTACAAACAATTTAGAAAAAATAACAATTCCCATATTGACTGAAACCTGTCATTTATATGATTTCATAAATAGGCTTAGCATCGACACACTTTTGTGCAATAAATTTAACTAAAATATCTAAACAAAGAAACAACGCACCCAGGTAAACCAAAATGATAAAAAAATAAGTTATTTGCTGGGATTAGGGGAATAATAGAATATTTAACAAAATATTTCCACTGTTTAAGTTTAGAAATTATAAACAGCAAATAAAAAAGCGTCTTGGGATTTAGATTTTATTACATCATCAGGAATTGATGAAAATTTAGTGTAAACTTTATTGCACATTTCTAATACGAGAAACTCTGCTTTAGCCATAACATCAAATCTTGCCGTCTTATCTGAGTCAAAAGTCTTTTATTTGAGTGACAAATCTAAAAATTATCTACACCTTGGACAAACTGAGAAAATGAACGTTTTTAATATTATTTTGTAAAGACAGTTGGTTGGTTGTTTACGATTAAAACCACATTAGACTATTTGTGTGTCCACCATGTGGAATCAGACCCCGTATTTTAACGTTGTAAGTCCATAGACTTACCGGTGTCCCACTGGCGGACTTGTAAAAACGGGACTAGATGTTGGGTGTGTCAACAAAATAAGCTTTTCAAAAAAATTACGTTACGGTATGAAAAGTCGTATTGCATCAGGCAAATTTATTATTCTTGTTTGTTATTTTAGTAGCTCTTACTCATACCTACTAAAAAGGAGTAAGGAAATAATTTCTCCCTTATTCCGAGGTATGTGCGGATGAATAACATATATTTTAACTAAATAGCTAAATTCCCCCAAACTCGTCAAGTTCAAACAAGTTTTGCCGGATGCTGTCTGCTTCCATTTCTGATCTGAATGCCATTGGAATATGTGGATGAATAGCACTTAATTTCATACATCACCTAAATACCCAGTCACCCCCTCAGTCATGGGCCTGATCAAACTAATAACGTTTGTTCTTATCTAAGATTAGAATTATTTCAGACTATTCGCAGGACGAATGTAGGTTCAAAGAAAGGTTAAATGTATTATAAGAAAGAATGGATGGTGGTTGCCTTCATTCAGAGCCTAAACTTTCCGCATGCTAATTTAATACAACTGTAACATCTTCTGTCTAGATCCTGAACTGGTACATAGGCACTTGATGTGTGGCATCAGTTGGTTGATTGTTGTTAAGCGCAAGCTACATTATGAACTATTTGTGCTCTGCCCACCACAGGTATTGAAACCCGGTTTGTAGCATCTTAAGCTTGCAGAGTTACAGTTGAGCCACTTGTGAGCGTCAGGTATGAGTAAATTAATACTTTTGTCATTAAATAATTAACTTCCTACGTGTCCATAACTTTAGGTCATCCAGGACCAGAAACTCACTTAGCTTAGGGAAATGTGGAATAGATAACATCACTTAGCTTAGGGAAATGTGGAATAGATAACATCACTTAGCTTAGGGAAATGTGGAATAGATAACATCACTTAGCTTAGGGAAATGTGGAATAGATAACATCACTTAGCTTAGGGAAATGTGGAATAGATAACATCACTTAGCTTAGGGAAATGTGGAATAGATAACATCACTTAGCTTAGGGAAATGTGGAATAGATAACATTTATGAATTTATTTATTATTCAGCCAATGTATGATTAATTTTATTCTGGGTTTAGATTATCAGAATCCACTATGTTCAATGAAACGGTACATGAATGGCGTTTCATTTCAAGTTGAACCTAAAATTCTTGCTCAGCTTTCCGACATCAACTGTCAGTTGGTCATATTTCCACTCATATATATGATCAGAGCCCCCTATTTACCCACCTTATCTAAAGAACATATTTTCTTTAATATTTGATCAGAGCTCCTACTTACCGCATTCAAAGATTGTCTTGCCTTTCATATATGATCAGAGCTCCCACTTACCTCATTCAAAGATTGTCTTGTCTTTCATATATGATCAGAGCTCTTACTTATTTCATTCAAAGATTGTCTTGTCTTTCATATATGATCAGAGCTCTTACTTATTTCATTCAAAGATTGTCTTGTCTTTCATATATGATCAGAGCTTTTACTTACCCACCTTACTCGTTTATTCCAAAGCAATTATGATCTAAATTATTTATTATCCAACAGACTGATGTACGATTTCAACTTTATTCTGATTTACCTACCAAGTCCAAGACTAATGGCTGATCGTTACTCCAAAGCCAGTGTAGATAGATAACTTTACTTCACATTCAGAACCTCTCTTCCCATTTACCTACCTAGCCTTGTGTTGATGTATGATTTTTGGTTTCATCTTTGTCTTAAATATCGCTCGCCAAATTATAAATAGATGAAATTTATTTCCAACTTATATTTTACTTACCGCGTCCTTGAGAAAAAGTTTATGAAGAATGAATACTGTTCGTCTTATTTCCATAATTTTAAAGCTTTCAGGAGAAAACTGACTTTAAGCTGTAAAGTTCAAGATATTTGTTTCTTCATATCACAACTATCGTAGTAAATTTATAGTTTATGAAAGACTGTGTTATTGTTTTCTTACTTTTGAGAAATAAAGCAATTCTCCCAACTTCCATTTATCCATCAAATACAAAAGTAATTCATTAAATAACCTGGTTACTTATAAATAAATAAATATCATACGCATAGTTTTATCTCCACACTTTACATGCCACGGGTACGTGCAGAATTGGACAACTTTTCCATCAGCAGCAAAGGCAAGTCCATTGGGGCAGGTTTCACTTGAAAAGGTCCCATTTTGGCACAAATAAAACTGGTCACAGGCTTGTTCATGCGCATAAGCAAAAACTCCGAGTTCAGGACAAACGCTTGGTGGGCCCCCTAGTGGCACTTCATTTCCCACGTAGGTACCTTAGTGAAACAAAATCATATTTTATTTTACTTCAAATGTTTCTTCATTACGATTAGTCATGACATATATCAGACAGTTTTATATTTGTTTAGCCTTATTTTTTCATGTATTGCAATTTTGAACTCCTAAGAAATAAATTCTCAAGAAAATAAAGACATTCCTCGAATAAGCAATTTATGTTCAAAACTCAAAATAAATCTTTCAGTACTGTACGTATAATACTTCGCATTTTTTGAAGCTTGTTTAAGAGGTCAAATAATACCAGTTTTTTTGTGTTTTCATCCCAAAGTATTTTGCACTGCATGGTGCAAAATATAGTAAAAACGATGTATTTAAATTCCTTAGCAGTTTTCTAGGGGTGTCATAAACATATCTTTATCCTATTTGTCCAAATAATGTTTATAACATCTTGTTTGTTTTTAGTTATACTTCTAAGGCTATCTACAGCGCAGCTTGAAAGTTACCAGTCAATAGTACCCACCGCTAAGTCTTGACTACTCTTTTTACCAACGAATAATGAGATTCACCTTCACATTGTAACTCCCTAAAGGTTGAAAGAACAGGCATATTCGGGGATGGATTTCGATCCCACGACCACCAGTATTACAATATAATAAGAAACTTCAGATACATGCACTAACTGGTTTGTATGTGGCACAAGTCTTTTTGTAACGTATTCTAAGACTCTAGAAGACTTCTGGGGAAAAAAAACCTATGATGTTACACGAAATTACAGGTTTTACTTACTTAGTTAAACATTCTCCAAAATGATCTGTTTCCTTTGTCTTTGAAAACGAAAACATCGTGTTTTAATATTAGGATATAATGCATTCTTGTACTGTGTTTTATTACAATGTATAATTTTAGTGCATAAAAAAACGACAACGAATTAGCTTAATTTGCTAACCAGTAGACGTACGTAATATTAATTTAGTCAGAAAGATTGCAAGCCATATTTTTTTTCTTTCGTATCCTTTCTATTAACCAAAAGTAATCAATTGTTTCTAAACCAGTAAAGTAAAACCACAATATATTTTCCAGACATTTCGCTAACTTTATGTCCAATATACAAATACAGTTTTAAGATGCTTGAAAAGAAAATAAGACGTTTGTTTATTGAATTTCGCCCAGAGATACTGGAGGACTATCTGGGCTAATTGTCCCTAACTTTGAAGAATGGTCAAGAGGGAAGATAGCTAGTCAACACCACGAACCGCCAAGTCTTGGGCTATTCTTTACCAACGAATGGTGGGATATATTGTCACATAATAACGCTCTCACACCTAAAAGGACGAGTATGTTCGGTGACAGAGTTCGATCCCGTGACCAGCTGATTGCGAGTAAAGCACATTAGGTTGAAATAATACGAGTATGTTCGGTGACAGGGTTCGATCCCGTGACCAACTGATTCCGAGTAAAGCGCATTAGGCTGAAATAATACGAGTATGTTCGGTGACAGAGTTTGATCCCGTGACCAGCTGATTCCGAGTAAAGCACATTAGTCTGAAATAATACGAGTATGTTCGATGACAGGGTTCGATCCCGTGACCAGCTGATTGCGAGAAAAAAGTTAAGTTAATCTTTGTCATGTCTTTGCAAGGCACATTGAGCCGGTGCTTTTGAAGCTACAATCTTGTTAATCAATGCGCTTTATTAATATGTTTAATATTATTTACAATGACCATTTTTTTAGAAACTTTTTGGTAATTGCTTTGTGTGTTCGTGTCAGGAGCACAAAATAACCCTCCAAATATAAGAATTTCCCATTTGGCGTTTTAATAAGTTACTTTTTCTTCACGCTGTTCTTTAATATATATTTACTTATATGTTTTAAAACTCTTAAGTAATATTTCATACGCATTCTACAGTTGGAAACTTGAATGGGTAAAGCAGGTAAATCTTATTAAAAAGGCGGGTGGGGCTTAAGCTTAATCTTTTTCATGTCTTCAAGGGCACTTATAACGTATTAGAAAATAAACAACATGACTTCAATTAAGCGCGTGTCGTTCGCCTGCATTTTTATAACGAGTGCCACAGAATAATGTAAGTATTATGCAGCTCCCCCTACAGACGACTCCTTGTAACTCGTTTCTAATAAAGTTTAAAAAATAATA